GCCCCCTGGTAGCCCCCTTCCACTCCACACTGATGCGCCTCTATCAGAGGCAGCAGCAGTCCCTGTCCATGGGGCACCTGAGTCCACAGGGAACTTGGACCCCTCCCTTCCTCTGTGGACAGAGGCTGCTGACACAGATACGTTAGATGTCTAGAACATTGTGGACAGGGTGGAAAAAAGCAGAATAAGGAAATGTTATTTATTCTTTCACTAACATAACACAAGAAGCTGCTGGAATTAAATTTATAGGCAACAGATTAAAAAAAACAAAATTAATTTTTTTTTTACAATCGACTTGTGGAACTCTTTGCCAGGAGATGGTGGAAAAGCCCAAACTATAAGGCTGCGTCTCGACTGGCAAGTTTTTCCACAAAAGCAGCTGCTTTTGCAGAAAAACTTGCCAGCTGTCTACACTGGCAGCTTGAATTTCCGCAAGAACACTGACTTCCTACTGTCTGAAATCAGTGCTTCTTGCGGAAATGCTACGCTGCTCCCGTTCGGGCAAAAGTCCTTTTGTGCAAAGCTTTTGGCAAAAGGGCCAGTGTAGACAGCTCAGATTTGTTTTGCGCAAAAAAGCCCTGATTGCGAAAATGGCGATCGGGGCTTTTCTGTGCAAAAGCGCGTCTAGATTGGCACGGACACTTTTCCGCAAAAAGTACTTTTGCGGAAAAGCATCCGTGCCAATCTAGACGCTCTTTTCCGCAAATGCTTTTAATGGAAAACTTTTCCGTTAAAAGCATTTGCGGAAAATCATGCCAGTCTAGACGTAGCCTAACAGTAAGTACAAAAGAAGTTCAAGGAGGATAGGTCTATCAATGGCTACTAGCCAGAGTGGACAGGCATGGTGTCCTTTACTTCTGTTTGCCAGAAGTTGGGAATGGGCAACAGAGGATGGGTCATGATGATTGCCTCTTCCGTTTATTCCTTCTGAAGCACCTGGCATTGGCCACTGTTGGAACACAGGATACTGGGCTAGACAGAACTTTGGTATCCTGATGTGCATAGGTTGCCCTCCCCCCCGCAATCTGAAATGGTGCCCCTGATGAGAGGCAGCAGCACAGGGATGGGGAAGGCAAATGGATCCAGTGCTAATAGGGAGCTGGCTTAAAAGAGGCAGCCCTAATACAGAGGCAGCAGGGGGGCAAGGGGAATGCATGTAGTCAACAGGATTAACCAATAAGCTTATCTATTAATCATAGAGCTGGAAGAGACCTCAGAAGGTCATCAAGTCTAGCCCCCTTCCCAAAGCAAGACCAATCCCAACTAAATCAACCAAGCCAGGGCTTTGTCAAGCCAAGGCTTAAAAACTTCTAGGGATGGAGATTCCACCACCTCCCTAGGTAACCCATTCCAATGCTCCACCACCCTCCTAGTGAAATAGTTTTTCCTAATATCCAACCTAGACCTCTCCTGCTGTAACTTGAGACCATTGCTCCTTGTTCTGCCATCCGTCACTACCAAGAACAGCCTTTCTCCATCCTCTTTGGAACCTCCCTTCAGGAAGCACGCACAGATCGTTCTGCGCATGCGCAGATCGCCAAAACCCGGCTCTTCCGGGTTGCATTATTTGTCTACTCCACGGGTGAGTAGATTGCATTATTTGTCGAGCCCTGGTCATTACTGTGAACAGCCTTTCTCCATCCTCTTTGGAACCTCCCTTCAAGAAGATGAAGGCTGCTATCAAATCCCCCGTCACTCTTCTTTCTACAGACTAAACAAACCCAACGCCCTCAGTCTCTCCTCATAGGTCACACGCTACAGCCCCCTAAGCATTTTGGTTGCCCTCCGCTGGACACTCTCCAATGTGTCCACATCCTTTCTATAGTGGGGGGCCCAGAACTGGACACAATATTCCAGATGTAGCCTCACCAGAGCCAAATAAATGGGAATAATCACTTCTCTGGATCTGCTGCCAGTGCTCCTCCTAATGCACCCTAATATGCCATTAGCATTCTTGGCTACAAGGGCACACTGTTGACTCATATCCAGCTTCTCATCTACTGTAATCCCCAGGTCCTTTTCTGCAGAACTGCTACTTAGCCATTCAGTCCTCAGCCTGTAACAATGCTTGGGATTCTTCCATCCCAAGTGCAGGACTCTACACTTGTCCTTGTTGAACCTCATCAGCTTTCTTTTGGCCCAATCCTCTAATCTGTCCAGGTCACTCTGGACCCTATCCCTGCCCTCCAGCGTATCTACCTTTCCCCCTAGCTTAGTGTCATCTGCAAACTTGTTGAGGGTGCAATCCATCCCCTCATCCAGGTCATTAATAAAGATGTTGAACAAAACTAGTCCAAGAACCAATCCTTGGGGCACTCCTCTAGAAACCAACCCCCAACCTGACATCGAGCCGTTGATCACTACCTGTTGGGCCCAACAGTCTAGCCAGCTTTCTATCCATCTTACAGTCCATTTATCCAATCCATACTCCCTTAACATGCTGGCAAGAATATTGTGGGAGACCATATCACAAGCTCTACTAAAGTCAAGGTATATCATGTCCACTGACATTCCCATATCCACAGAACCAGTTACTTCATCTTAGACGCTAATCAGATTGGTAAGGTACAACTTGCCCTTCGTGAATCCATGTTGACTATTCCTGATCTCTTTCCCCTGTTCCAAGTGCTTCAAAATGGATTCCTTGAGGATCCCCTCCATGATTTTTCCGGGGACTGAGGTAAGGCTGACTTGTCTGTAGCTCCCTGGATTGTCCTTCTTCCCGTTTTTAAAGATGGGCACTGCATTTGCCTTTTTCCAATAATCCGGGATCTCTCCCGATCTCCATGAGTTTTCAGAGATAATGGCCAAAGGCTCCACAATGACATTTGCCAACTCCCTCAGTATCCTTGGATGAATTAAATCTGGGCCCATGGATTTATGTATGTTTAGCTTTTTAAAATAGTTCCTAACTTGAACTTTCCCCACCAAGGGCTGTCCACCTCCTTCCCATACTGCATTGCCTAGTGTATTTGTCTGGGAGCTGACCTCGTCCATGAAGACAGAGGCAAAGAAAGCACTGAGTACTTCAGCTTTTCCCACATCATCTGTCACTAGGGGTGCGTCTAGACTACATGCCTCCGTCGACGGAGGCATGTAGATTAGACAGATCGGCAGGGGGGAATGAAGCCGCGGTTAAA